GCGAAGAAGACCGTTACTTTGGTTTTAGAGAAAAATGACCCTTTTTAGTAAAACACCAAAGTCATACCAATATATTCATTTTTACAGCTGTAACATACATCACTAGATTTTGTTGTATCTATTTATTTTCCATACATAACCAGCATTTACTTTATCAACCAAAATTTAGAATATTATCCACTCGAATTTAGGATACTAAATCTTATCCTGGTTGATGTAAACTTTTTAAGTTTTAACCATACATACCATTTGAAAAAAAAAATCATTTAGAAGATAATAAGAAAGGGAAAAATCTATGTAATAGCATATATATATTTGGAGAAAATGGAAAAAATTCTGAAATTTCTTTTTATCAAAACAAGTAACATGCATGAATCTCTTTTCATAATCTACCAATTTTGACTTTTAAGTTTTAACTAAAATGTATTTATCATTTGCAAGTAATTTATTATAAAATTGTAACTTGATACAAGTAGATAAACCAAGAGATATTCATGTAAATTACTTTGATGTCCTTTTTTTTTTACAAGACGTATTATTGTGTAGTCAGAATTTTGCCTACACTTACAATTTTTTTTAGATTCTTTGAATAAAAATATAACTTTTTAAGATGTGTTTTTCTCATAGATTGCTTGTGCGATTATCATCACTTCTTATAATTATTTAACAAATTACATCTATCAACATGCATGTAATTTTTCTTTACATAATTACATTTGACTTTGCATAATTTTAATTTCATAACATAAGAAATAGTAGTATTCAAGTTTTTTTGGTCCATAATATGTATTATGTGGGATTGATTTCAAATTATGAAATAGAAATATCATTAACACAAACCACTATATTAGATGTATTAGTTAAGTAATTTGTATCTACGTAATTTGTATGAGTTAGCTGCAATAATTATTTCATTAACAAAAAAAAAAACTGCAAAATTCATGAATTTCAGAAATACTTCAAATGAGCAACATTTCATTAGAATTTCTTAAATCTACAAAATTTAGCTTTCCTCTCCTAAAGCTTAATCGTAGACATCGATAATTCTATGTCTAATTAACAATCAAACTCTTTTTTTATTTTATTTTTGATAAAAATGACAAAATCACTCAGTTTCTTTTGGACCTCCTCTCTTCCTCCTTCCTGAACTTGATCCCACAAGCATTGCATAGAGTCTGAACACACAAATAATTATTAACATTAATTTATTTCAGGTTATTAATATTCAAACCTGATTAATTAGTGGAAATTAAAATTTGAAGATGTAATAATTAACTTAATTACCTTAGGACCAAGAGGACCCCTACGCCACATAGGAGTGCTAATTGCATTACAATTCATGTTCGTACACTTAATCTTCCCGTCGTCAATCTGTCCACAGCCGCCACAAAAACCACCGTGACAACGACGCCGCTTCGCGTCTGCGTTTGCGTTTGCGTCCAGATCAGCGTTTGCCATCGCCAAAGACTTGTTCCGATGAGCTCTCCTAGCGGGAACATCAAGCAGAACATAGTCATTCCCGGTGGGAGTCACCGGAGACGGCGCCGGAGATGAAGGCATCGGAATAGGAGCGAAGTTCAACGTCTCGCCGAGTCCGGCGAATTTCTGGAAGACGTATTGGTAGACTCTGATATTCATGTCGACGTTGTTTCTTGCACCTTCGGTGTCTTTGATCACAACATCATCACCAAGAATACGGCGGAGGCTAATCTCTCCGCCGCCGTTATTGTTGTCCCGGCGGCCGGCGGCGACGTTGGTTACCTGTGATTTAAATTTTAATTAATTAGCGATTAATTCATATTTTTATGTTATTATGAAGTAAATGTACGTAGCAATAATGGTAATTAATTGTAAAGAAAAAGTGATGATAAGGATGAAATGTTTTTTTCCTCCAAATATATTATTATTACCTTTAAGACAGTTGGATTAGCGTTTTTAACAGAGAGAGATTCATGAATTTAAATAATTAGTTCGATGAATTTAGATTTTTTTTAGGAAAACTGAGATTTATTTTTTATTTTTTATTTTTGAAAAAAAAAAAGAGATTTATGATAAACATGAGATTAGTTGTTCAAATAGTATCAAGTAGTAAGCTCTTTTTTTCAAGAAAAAAAAATAGTATCAAGTAAATTAATAAAAGTGATGGTATCAATAGATCTCGACGATAAATTCATCAGATTGTTGTATGAAGATTTCATATTTATTCATGTCCACATCAATCAATCATAGTGG